CCCCCCCCCCCCCCCCCCCCCCCCCCCCCCTTCACTTACAAAGCTGATAAAGCCCTGGTGAAAAGGGGAACAAAGAATTTACAGATGGCAGAATATTGATTTCCGCTGTCACAGAACTACAGGGAGAAGATGAAGAACCCCCCCAAAAACTCTGTGAAGTTTGAGACACGGGCACTATCTCTGCAGCACGAACTCTGCATTTGTTATGGCAGCGCCCCGTCAATATCCGATGCAGGAAGCATTGCTATTGTAGAGGGATGAGCAGGCCGTTGAAAGCCTCAAAACGCAGAGAGATGAGATTACAGCCTGAAATCCCAGTGAGCGTGCTCGTCGTTTCCAAACTTGCTCAGCAGAGAGGTGCTGCCAGTGACAGCAGTTTGCCACCAGGCGGGCCAGCCCGGCATTGCTCCCAGAGGCTTCAACTTCAGCTGACACTACTGAAGGCTTTTACAAATCACATCTCATCCCTGAGATTCGTACTGTTACCCATGTCCTCTTTTCCCTGCTACCCAGCACCGCAGCTAGGAAAACCAAGACAAGAAAATGTTTCTGTAAGGAAACAGCACATAAAAGTGAGTCCAAACAGTGGTTCTCAGTGATCACAGCCACAGTCGATGGCAGAGCTGCCCATTTGTTCACCAGTATTATCCCTACACCTTCATAAAAACATGCTGTCACGATAGATGCAGTCATCGTGGTGATAACAACCAGCACATATTGCACAGATCAGCATGTTTCTAAAACTGTTAGCAAAACATCCCTCACAATTCTCTTTTTAGAATAGCTTGCTTTCTTCAAATACCTGTCTGGCTTCTCTCACCCAAAGAAAATTTCTCATATGGAATTTTTTGTATATTTAAGCAGTCACTCCCAATTTATACCACATTTAAAGAAGATGTGAATCAGACCCATTAGTGTCCTGACATGCCTAAGATAGAGATTAATTGTAGGGATGATAAAGCTTGAGGAAGTACCATTTTAAATCATAGAGTAATGAAACCACCAGCACACCCAGGGTAAGACACACAAGAACCCTTTTTGGTTGTTCTCCATGAGCGCTCTGGAGCTTCACAGGCTCACCAGCAACTGCTCTGACTGTGCCCTTCATCAACCTGGCTTCTACCAAAGGTCAAACAGGATATTGCCAGGCTCCAATAAGAACCACAGTCAAATAGGATCCAGACATTTGCAAATTAATTACCATGAAGAGTTCTTCTGGAGATGTTTTGTTAATCCAACTGATGTTATGATGTCAGTAGAATTATCCCAGGAATCCACGTAATTAAAAACATACCAGTGGTTACAAAAATACATTCAGCTACGGGCATCTTTTTACTGTCATGACTAACGTAACTTTTATATCCCAGTGAGGAGATTGGTCCCTCATACATATATATAAACAAGCAAACAAAATCCTTAAGAAATGCAATAGACGTTCTCTGATGTTGCCTAAAAGCAATCAAAATACAGCAGTGCAATCACCTCACTGGCAGGAAATGTTACCCAGGACATAAGGAGTATTTCTGAAGCTGCCTGCACTGAACACAGACCCTGAATCTCAGCCATGAAACACTGGGAAACTTTCCTCCTCTACATTTCATTTGCACACAGCGCCATTTATGATTATCTTCCTTTCTGCTGTGGAGATCAGCCTGAACACCAATTCTACCCAGTGCTGACCTGCAGTACCCAGGATGAGTCAGTTCAAATCAGCCACAGCCTCACTGCAGCCTCCTCTGTGCCCCAGCCCAGCAAGCCCTGTGCCCACACCTCCTAACGCCAGCTCCTTTCCTTACTGCTCTGCACTGGCTGCCACTGCTCCTGCACAGCCCCGATCGAGAGCCCCTTCCTATCCTTTCTCCAGGACTCTCCAATCCCATCCTCGCAGCTCTAGAGCCGCTCACACAGCAGCACCCCGATCCTCCAATAGCAACACATCGGCCTCGCCCCTCAGCACCAAAATGGCGCCCGTTCACCACACTTCAGCGACGCGGCGCGAGGACGCTCACGTGACTAAAGACCCTCCCGCCCTGCGACAACGCATGCGCAGAAGCGTGCCGCAGCTCAAGGTCAGGCTGGCGGAGGCAGAGCACTGCGCGTGCTCCGTCCCACCGCAGTGACGTCAATTCCGGTTCCGGAGGGCGCTCCGGACGCTGAGGACATGGCGGCGCTCAGAGGGCTGTCCCGGCTGCTGCCCGCCGCCCCCGGCTCGGTGCCGGCCCGGAGGATGGCGGCCGCGGCGGCGCACGAAGGCGGCGGAGGTAACGGGGAGGAAGGGGCGTAGCGCGGGCCCGCATCGCGCCGCTGTCCTCCGTGCCGGGGGACGCGCTGCCCCCGGGGTGCCCTCTGGGGGCTGGCAGAGCCTCGCGCCGCGACCCCCGTTCACGTGTTAATGCTTAACGCGCCCTCGGGTCCCGCCGTAACGCGGACAGTCACTGTTGCTGTGTTCCGTACCGCCTCCAGCCCGCCTCTGGAAGACGCTGAGCTTCGTCGTGGCGCTGCCCGCGGTCGGTGTCTGTATGCTGAACTGCTACCTGAAGGCGCAGCACGAGCACAAGCGGCCCGAGTTCATCCGCTACGCCCATCTCCGCATCCGCACCAAGGTGCGTTTCTTTACCTGCTCTGTTCCGAGGATCTCATGTTCTGTGACCTCCGGGGGCCCAGAGTTTCAAATGGGAGGAGCACAGGCCTCTGCTGAGCGAGGTGCTGTGTGTATGGCCACGGTCTTAACTCGTGGCTCTGCTCCTGGCTCAGCTGTATCTGGCAGCTCTGGTACCGCTGTGCCTCTCCCAGCCACAGGTAACCTTGCTGATGTCTCCCAGAAAAACATCTCAGTTGTAGAGGTGCTGTGTTTACCTCAGGCTAATACAGATCTGCACGTTAACAGCTGATCCCACCCTCCCGCAGCAGGGGGTCCTCATGGCATAGCACCATGGATGTCCAAGTGACAGCAGTGACTTTGCTGTTTGGAGACAACAGCTGCCAGCTAATGGAGACTTTTTCATCTCTAGTTTTGTATAGCCTGGGGGCGCTGCCAGCTTGTTTAAGCTGGAATCTGTATTTGCTGTTGAGTCCATTTCTGCTATGCTTAGTAGCTCCTTTAATTAATTGCTAAAGGCTTATTTTCCTTCTTTCTTCCAACAGCCTTTTCCCTGGGGTGATGGGAACAAAACTCTATTCCATAACCCTCATACAAATGCTCTCCCAACCGGTTATGAAGATGAAAACTAAAATCTCAACCACAGCCACAACTTTGGCTCTTCTTGTGTTTGGACCAGGCTGTTCTGTGGGAACCATCACTTAAGAAGATCTGCATTCCTTCTACAGTCAAATTGAATGGTGGTCTGGTCTCCACCAGTATTTCTGTAGAAGTCCTTTAAATAAACAGTTCCAAGCCTGAATTTGGGCTCTGACTTTTTAATTAATCTGAGACTCCTTAAAAGTTCCTTAGTTTAGTGTTGAGCCTTCCCCAGCAGAGAAACAGGGGGTGTTTACTGACTGTTAATACCTGCTCCCATATCTGGTAATGCTAACAAGTCATGCATCCATCACAAAGGATATGAAGCCAAATAATGTGTTTTGTCTGATTTAACTGATCATTGTTATCTCACATGCAGATGAATGGCTATTAGTGTGATACTATAAACTAAAATTCAGTATATAGAGGAAAGTCAGTTCCATTTGTACGGAGTGACCCAGTAGTAAGCATTAATAGCTTACTCTGTAAGTGCTACACTTAATCTTTGCACAGGCTATTTTGCCAGCTGCCTCATGCACGAGGAGTGTGGTCAGTGCAGGCTATGTGACCATGCTTGAGCTACTGCCATTGCTGAGGACACAGAGCACAATGACCCTGGTGTGCTGCAGTTTCTGAGCTGCACAAGCCTCAAACCTCTCCTTGCTCGCAGTTATTACTTAGAAGCTGTGGCATAGACAGGACAGCACTTATGTTTGAGAGCTCCTAACTTTTTAATTAAAAAAATGAAAAAAGTAAAACCTGAGTTACTCTTCAGGCATTGTTGAAGAGCCAAGGAGTGTGGCGTTTGCCATTTTCCCCTTGCTATAATTCCAAGAGAATTAAGAAATTTACTCCTGCTTTGTTCCCAACATAAAATATTTATTGTCTCTTTACCTGTGTTGGTGTAGAGGGGACAGCTCTGTCCATTCCTGCCACAGTGCTCACAAGGCCATGGGGTGACTTGGGGTGAGTCCTGAGCTTGTGCTTCTCCTCCTGCACCCTTTCTCTAGCTGTTGCAAGATCTGCAGAAGCGAAGGAAGCTTTGTTGCTAAAATATCAGGATGGACCAAGTAGAAAACGTTTGAAGAGGAGAAGGGTAATTCATAACAACTTCACAACTAGATGGGAAAATACACACTAGCATATTCTTCTTGCTGAGGAGCCTCCTTTACTTTTCCACGTTCAAAGGAAGACAATTTCAGATCTCATTTTAGGAAAAAATAGAAAGTGTCTGCTACTCAGTCAAGTTGCACAAGAGTGACACAAATGCTCAGATGGGGCATCTGGCAAGTCAGCCAATCATCTCACTCTTTCAAAATCCACTACCAAATTGCTGAATAACTTACTTGGAGTTTCTGCAGTTTACAAGCTACCGCATTAAGACCAACAAATAACTTCAGTTTCCTTTACAAGGTGTAAAGTGCACACAGTCCAGGAGCAGCTTCATAAGCAGGTGAGGTGAGGTGAGGCAGGACAAGCTATTGGGGCTTTTAACTTACCAGCTGTAGAACTTCAGTTCACCATCGTTCTCATTCAACGCATACTTTGATCATCTCAATCAAAAATGTAACAGTAGTCGTGGCCAACCTGGTGCTCCAATGGTAGCGTGTACAAAGATGGCCAGGCCTGTGCAGTTCTACTGATTATTATACCAAAGGAGCAAGAATTCAAATTTAGGATTACTTCAGTACCTCAGAAAAAGCCAAAGAAAGTGGCCTCTGCACCAACTGTTTCTTCACTTCTGTTACAGGCTGCCTTTGTTCCTCTTGGAGGTCATAATCAGACGCTACCAGACAGTTATCCACTTGAACAAAATATAACTTGCTATATTTATTTCACTTAAGTTATTGCAAGTCCAGCAAAAGTGCTTTTACACCATCTCTGTTAATGGCAAAACCAATGCTTTAGCCCCTTAGCATTTAGGATCATATAAACCAGACTTCTTCCACCCAAATTCAGCACCACAGAGATGGGACAAAGTAAATCAACCTTCTTGTTAAACACTTCCAAGTGTTATATAAGTAAGCAAGATAAATGGGTCAGAGATTAATTGCATCTCCCATTATAAAGTACATTCAATAGAAGTTAGTTAAATCATCTTTTTGCACTGTTATAAGCAAAACCACCACCACAATTCATTGGAAAGGAGGCAGCAGGTACCACATCATAAAGTCTTTTGGTTTGTGGCAGTTTGATTTTACAGGCATAGAAAACACCCCACTTCCTAGAATGCTACAGAGAGGAAGCAGCTTAGCAAAGCACTATCCAGGTGTCCCGGCTGCTGTGTAGCCACCGTTCTCAGCCCACGGGCTCATATTAATGATTCCCTCCAGTCAGCTGAAGTCAAGAGGAATTTTCAGCTTTCCCTTTGCTCGGCCCCATGAACTCCAGCCCTTCGATGGGTATGTCCTTCTCCTTGATCGCTTTCTGGGAAGAACAAGAACAAAACGAGTTACGTTGGAAGCGTGTTTCAGACAGCGCTTTACAGTGCTGAGAAACGAGAGCTTCGGCTAAAAACATCATCTAGAAACAGCAGCCCCAGCACTGCCCTGATGGGCTCCTAACGTTACGGATGCTGAAGTTGAGCAGCCGGCGGCTCCGCAGGGCCCGCACCTGTACGCAGAGCTGGTAGCGCTTGAAGAGCTGCCCGCAGGGGTCCCCGTCGTTCTCGCCCTTGAGGAACTTCTCGGCGAACCAGCGGTTGAAGCACTGGTCGTACTCGCGCTTCAGCTCGGTGCACGCCTCCCCCACGCTGTTCATGGCGGCGGCAGAGCCCCTCCGCCACCGCTCCGACGCACTTCCGGCGCGCGTCTATGACGTCACGAACCGCTTCCGGTGGCGGGCGATGCGGGCGCTGGGGTTGTGCCGGTGGCTGCGGGGCGGGACGGTGCGAGCCTTCGGACTCGGGGCGGCCACGGCGAGCTCCGCGCTGCCTCCGCAGGTCGGGCAGCGCCTGGGGCCGCGCCGCGCCGCTCCGTTCGGGGCGATAACGGTTTGAGCAGCCCGGTGTCCGCTCTTTGCAGGACGGCGTCACGGTGGAGGTTCTCGACCACCTGGAGCGCCTGGCCCTGGTGGACTTCCGCGATGCCGAGGGCGTGGAGCGGCTGCGGGAGGCCGTGCGGTTCGCCGAGCGGCTGCGGGAGGTGAACACGGAGGGCGTCGAGCCGATGGACTCGGTGCTGGAGGACAGGTAAGGGCCGCGGCTGTGCGGCCGTCGGGCGCGTTGGTGCTGGGAGTTGCCTACGTACGCATCCGGCCCTCTGCGCGCCGCACTGAGCCCTGCCCGCCGTCCTCAGGTGTCTGTATCTCCGGGAAGACGACGTTACGGAGGGCAGCTGCACTGCAGAGCTGCTGAAGAACGCCAGAGAAAAAGTAGAGGAATATTTCGTAGCCCCACCAGGTACTGTCCTTTTTATAGAACCTTTGCATCGTGCTTGACTTAACCCAAGGAGTGTCACCTGCCATCACAAACTGCTTTCCCAAGTAAGGAATGACTGTAATCATCTGTGCTAATAGACACAAAACCTGGAGCACACTGCAAGCTGTTGAGCCAAAAGCAGTAGAGTGGTTAATGTTACCTTACAGCTCCTGCACATCACTGCTTACAGGAAGTCAAACAGAACTTCATGACTTTCCTTACGTGCTCACAACTTCACGTTGTCTGCATGCACTCAGGATGAACTGGAGTAGCACTGTTACGTTAGGCTGCACTGCTCACTGACAGCTGGTCTCACACAACTCTGTTTTCTCCCAGGTAACATCCCTTTACCAGAGCTGGAAGAAAGAGATACTTTCCTGAAGCGTTCGTAGTGAGAGAATTCAAATGCCACGTCCATATTTTATTTGGGAAAACTGCATTTTGTGTGGTCACAACTGAAATACCCCAGCACGAATTTGGATCAACAGAACACTTGCTCTGCTAAACTTTCTGTCCCGTCCTTCTGTAAATTCTCTTGGTGCTGAAATACTTGATGTTTCTGAAACTGGAAGGCGGCATGACAGGTGCTTCTATTTATCAAAGCATATGTTATGTATTTTATATTCCTGAATGGCTTGAGGGCTTTAAAGAGAACATTAAAAACTGAAGATTAAAACAGTTTTATTGAACTTGTTTGTCAGGAGAACAAGGGAAGGTTATATCCGACATTTCTCAACTGGCAGAGGACCTTCCTCACTGAACTGTACAAATCAGAGACAAGATAAGACCAGGCTCGCTGAGGAAAGGTAGTGACAGAGTGGAAGAAGAATGCTTCAGCAAACGAGAACCAAATAGCCCAGTCCATTCATTTCCAGGCCACAATAAGTGGGCTTAAAGCCAGTCTTTTTCTTCCCATGTGGTGACCCTCCAAATACAGAATCCAGATTTATTGCCTCCAGTTATAATGCCATGCACTAAAAAAGTTCACGGCGTGCTGAGCCACAGTGAAATTTCTGAAGAAGTGCTAGAAAAGACCCTTGAAGTTGTTGTAATAGAATCCTGCTAGTCACCAGTTTTAAGTCTGCTCTTATGGCTCTTGAGAGTGTGCCAGGAGGACAGGAGGGTCTTCCATAGCTCCTGGCACAAACTCCTCGAGGGCAGAAACTCCTCCTCAGGTCAGAATTCAGTGTCATCCACTTCACACAATGCGTGTTCTGTATCTGATTGGAGGAAAAAAAAAAAAATCACTCCCACTTTGCTTCTCTGTATTTCTGCATAGTGAACAACACCAGCTTTGTGCATGTGATGCTTGGTAGAGGAGATGGTAAGGAGACATAATTTATTTCTCCTATGGACTTTATATTCTACATCCCTACAAACAAGACAATTAATAAACTAAGTCTCCCACTGTCAAATTCACTGCAAAGCTTGAATATTAGAGCTTGTGTCGGCATGTCAAGAATCAGACCCTGCAAACTGTAAACCAAGTTCAGCCTAAGGGTCGTTCATGTTTGTATATAAATCACAAGGACAGACTTCAAAGCACGCCATATGACACGCACATTAGCAGAGAATTCCCACCCTGAGAAATCCCTGCGTGTTCTGTCCATTTTGGCTGTCTTCTTTTCCCCATCAGAGGGAATGGGGACATTATTTACATAAAGAAAGGGAGAGGAGTTGAACAGCATGGCTGCAGGAGCCAGCAGCCCAGTGTATCATCAGGCAGCAATCAAAGCAATTTGGACCAAGATGATCCCACGTTCCCCATGCAGCACGGGCTGAGCTTAAGGCTTCCAATTCTCTGCTGCTCCCTTAACCACACACACTGGTGAGAGGACAGGCTGTCTAATGCTTGTTCCCTGCAGCCTAAAACTGTCTTACAAGTTCAAAACATATATTTCCTTAATGAAGGGGTTTGTTACAATGTCCCTGCTAATAAGGGAATTACAGCCCTGACTCACATTCCCACAACCTACGCGTTAGGAACCCTTGCACAGGGTGGATGAGCTGCCTGTGGGGCAGCATGCATTGATCAGTGCCTCAGCTCCATGTAGTGAGGTGGTGCTGCCCTGTGGGATGGCTGAGCTGCACCAGGGTGGGCTGCACCCAGAGGAGAGAAGGCACCCCTGGCTCACATCCTTGCACTGTTCTGCTACATACAATTGAAAAAAGACAACAAAAACAACAGGTAAGTGAGGCAAACATGATACATTTCTGTAAAACAACTGTTTTTCTCAGTGGATTGTTACAGCCGAAAGAGAAAGGTCAGTTTGGTTAAAAAAGAAAGAAAGGAAGCCATATTCTGAGCTGCTGTAGATGTTCTGGGTTCCCTTGGAGACCATGGACTGGCTTGACTTACACCTGCTACGTTTTCTCCACAGCTATGCAGACCTGTAACTTAACACTGAGCTGGGTGCCCTGGCAGATAGATGCTATGTTTACAAAGACCATTTTGAGGCAGAGATTTCTTCAGTTGCATGGAAACACAAAAACTGAGGGCGTTCTATTGCTAATAATTATTATTTCCAGGGAGCCCCAGGAAAAATGTCATTCTGATATGGTATTCAACACAGAGCAGAAAAAAAAAAAAAAAGAAACAGCTGAAAAGTGCTGGCTATCCAACCTCCACCTGCAGCAGGAGCCTCATGACAGGCACCATCCATTACCCAACATCTCTGGCACGTCCTGTGCTCCACCTGCCATCTCCTTGCACGTATGTTCTGCCTTCCCCTGCAGTTGTGGCCTGAGGGCAATGCACTTTCACATTCCTGATCAACAGGTAAAGCTGTACCGTGTCTTTAAAGCCACGTATCTCAGGCTTTCGTGTTCGTGCAGCCCCACGTCTCACCCACAGACGGTTCTTGCAGCCGTCATCACATCTGTTCCTTCAGCAAACCAGTTCTTAATGAAAGCACAGAAATGTGCCCGCAGCTACCAAACACCGCCTCCTCAGAGCCCACGGCTGGTTCTGAAGGTCAGTGCAGGCACAGGGCAGACGCTGCAGTGCCTCATTGCTGGTGCTCTGTGAACTCATCGCACGCCGAGGCCCCAGGACCCCGAAGCTTTCCGGGCTGTTAGCAGCAGGGCGCAGAGATGGCAACGTCTGCCAAGGCCGCCTGACATCAAACTGCAACCTGACGGCTTCCGCTCGTTACAGGAGCCGACTTTAGAGCCGGACCCGATCGATCTCCGTACACGTGGGCAAAAGGCTTTTATCAGAGGTCGCTCGGTCGGAAAGACAATGACAGACTGAAAATAGGCACATTAATGTGAAGATCGATGGAGCGCGGTTCCCAAGCTTCGGAGCGGGCGCCCGCACCCCGCCCCGCCCGTCGCTATGGGAACGGACGCGGACACGCGGCATGCCGGGCGGAAAGAAAACGCCGGAGTAAAATCCAAGCGGAGCTCCGCCGGCTGGCCAATGAGAGATCGAGGGGGCGGGGCCGCGGCCAATGGCGGGCGGGCGGCGCGGAGGAGGCGGGGCTTGGGGCGGGGCTGCGGAAGCGGAGGCGTGCGCCAGGCGCGGCGCGCAGTCGGCAGCTCCGATCAGCGCCGGTCCGCAGCGCCCGCATCGGTGAGCGGGTCCGGGCACCGAGGGTGCGGGGCGGCGGCGGGGCTGGGGGAAGACTGCCGGAGCGGGGCGAGGGGCTGCCGGGGTGGGAGGGGAACGGCGATGTGAGGGTGAGCGCGCGGCACGTGGCTGCACCCACAGCTCCGGGTTCCGTGGCCGCTGCAGGCAACCATGAGTGACCGAAAGGCAGTGATCAAGAACGCCGACATGTCGGAGGAGATGCAGCAGGACTCCGTGGAGTGCGCTACGCAGGCACTGGAGAAGTACAACATCGAGAAGGACATCGCAGCGCACATCAAGAAGGTAAAGGGCTGCGGTGCTGCGCTGTGTAACACCGACGGGGGGAATGCTGCTGGGCTCGAGAAACGAGTTCCAGAGATACCAGCTCACCGAGCTGGGTTTTCTGTGTAGGCTGTGATTGCTTTCCTCGCCCTCTGCGTGGACCTCTGTGGTCCTTCTGCCTTTCTCTCGCAGTACTTTAAGCTTTTATTTCCATTATCTCCCCATCCAAACGAACCTATTTGGGAAGCGCTGCTTTGCTGACCTTGTCATCCTTTGGCTTTCCTTCCCCCTGCACGCAGGACAAACTGTTCACACCAAAGCAGAACAGATGGTTCGTTCCTTACAGTGTGTCACATTTTCTGCCTCCTACTTGCAGCCTGACTGAGCTGAGCAGAAGACAAACTCCTGCACGCTCTCACTGCTGTGGACAGGTGCTACAGCACACAGCCACCAGCTGGAAGGTTCTGCTCATACCAGGCTTGCACTGATGAGTTCCACATAATCTCATAGCAGGCTCCTGGTATGATGGGTAGAAAAAATGTTCTCGTGGCACTGGTGTAAAAATGTGGGCAAAGAATATTCCACTGAGTCCTTTCAGCATCCTTGTTGATAAGAACAGCTAATGAAGTTCAAATGATGTTTTAACCTGCACAGATTCAGAACGAGCAGTGAAGTGTGGCTTTGGAGGAAACGTTACTGAGCAAACACATTTCAATCTCATTCCTGCTGGGCTTTTTTAAAGTAAGCAGCAGATAGTTATAAGACAACAGATGATCCCTGCACTTAAGAGCATATGCTGCTCCTTAATTGCCATCTTCAGAACGTGGTACTTGCTAAGAAGTGACACATCAGTGCCAAAACAGAAGCGTTAGTACAGTTCTCATAAGAAATGCTAAATTTGTAGTTCTCTCTTCTGTAGGAGTTTGACAAGAAATACAATCCTACTTGGCACTGCATCGTGGGAAGGAACTTTGGCAGCTATGTGACTCATGAGACCAAACACTTCATCTACTTCTACCTCGGCCAAGTTGCTATTCTTCTCTTCAAGTCTGGTTAAACCACGGACTCTCAGTGGCACTGAGTCTGGCTGCAGGACTGCACACCAAAGCCAAGCAGCCTGCTACCCTCAGCCTTCTGAGGACACAGACCTCCATCTCCAGGTCTTGTGTTGTATTGTTAATGATCAGGGATTTCTCTGTAGTAGCTGATATTTTCATTGTGGCTATAAAAGTGTCTTCCTCATATTTATTTTCTTTCAAAACAAAGCTTATTTGCTAATAAAACTAATGGAACAGTTTATCCTGGAAGACTTCTATCTACCCTTCTGCTGTCTTAATACTTTCATTAAACTCTATTCCCCTCTAAAGGAACATCCACACACCAACTTTCCTCCTAAATGCACAGCATGTGAGTGCTGAGTTAATCTAAGAATAGATCATCCATCACTAAAAAAAAGAGGAAAGATTTTTTTCCTGAGAGAAGGTGGGAAAAAAGACTGTGTTTTGAGTCTTTTTCAGTATGCATAACCTCCCATGCAAATTGTGAAGCTGCTTTTCTGATCTGATGTGAATTGCTGAGCTAAGAGCAATAGCTCTTTTTGGTCCCACTCTTCAGAACAGAGGGTTTTTCACATGCTTACATTACACAGCTGTCAACTCAGGCTGTAACTTTGTATATCCTCCAGTTTTGTTTAGAGGAGTTTTTAGTTTTCTTTATCCCTGCAGCCTGCAACAGAAGCACCACATCTTTAACAGTTTAGTTTAAGGAACAGAAAGAAAGGTGTGGTATGTTTATGTGGAGATTATACATCTAGAATTGGACAGAG